CAAGTCACTGAGTAAGTCAAATTAGTTGTTTCAAGACGAGGATGAACATGGAAAATTCATTACGAGGGATAATACATTTCCAGATATTAAACGAAATGCTCTCTACGATGCGAATTGTTTTAATTTAATGCGGAGTATCCGGTTTGAGTACGGTAATATCCAGAAATACGAGCGACGTCCGTCCTACGAAACGTGCTTTATTGACTCGAACAAATAAACCGAATAATCGCATTACAGGGAGTTGTATCCGTATTGTTTGAGCTGTACAACAGGCTTCCTCGACTGTTTCGATCGACGTTAATAGTTTATTCTAGAATAGTTCATAGTTGAAAATCCAGGGTTGTTTGTCCGGTTCATCTCCAGAGTTAATGGTACACACAAAAAAGTGTTATTGATTTAAATAAGTTATGATTTGTTTGAAAAAATTTGTCGTTTAAATGTGGAAAAATTAATGTATTGTTTCAAATGAAACTACTGTTTTATTGATTTCTCAATAAACTAATCTCTCCTAAAATATTCCCCCCTTCATTTAAATCAGTTGAAATGTTTCAGTTCAATTTACCATAGGTTGCCTTTTATGTTTCGGGATTTGACAACCCTAGCGTTGCAATCTGGCAACTGACAGCTCTATCGTAAAGTTGGCCATTTTTGAGCTTATACGAACTCAGAATTTTTTGACATACGCGCGCTATTGCTATTGTTTACAGCAACTTAAAAGATTCATGTCGACCCAAGAATGGAATTAAATCGTGAACATTTTCGTGCGATTATTTTTTACAACATTCGACGTGGATCAACTCAGTAACAATGCATGGATGAACTCAATTCAATTTTTGGCGATGAAGCTCCATCAAGGAGCAGTGTTTATCGATGGTATGCTGAATTCAATCGTGGTCGTAGTTCACTCCTAGACGAATTTCGTGAAGGTCGTCCAAAATCAACTGTTTCGAAAACCATTGATGCTGTGCGCGAACTTATATTGCAAGATCGTCATGTGACCTATCGTCAGATTGAGACAACCTTAAGCATTAGTGGGACCAGCATACATTCAATATTGCATAACCATTTGACTGTCAAAAAAAAATTGTTCGCGTTGAATCACACACAATTTGTCAATCGCTCAAAAAAAGGCTCGTGTCGACGAAGGAAATGCTCAATAAATACGATCGCGGTATTTCGAAACACGTCTATGACATCGTGACAGGTGATGAATCGTGGATTTACAGCAGTCGACTGTATGGGTGTTTCACGATGAGCCAAATCCAACAAAAGTTGTTCGCGTACGAAGCACTTCCAAGCAAATGGTCGCCTGTTTTTTCGGAAAAACTGGACATTTTGCAACCGTTCTACTAGAACAACGTAGAACAGTCAATTCTGAGTGGTACACAACCATTTGTTTGCCAGTTGTCTTCCAAGAAATCAGGAAAACCAACCGCCGAAGACGGGTCACTCTTCACCACGACAATGCGAGCTCTCACACATCGGCTCAAACAACTGCATTTTTGAGCACCCAAAACATCGATTTGTTGAGTCATTCGCCGTATAGTCCTGACTTGACACCGAATGACTTCTTTTTATTCCCTCACGTAAAAAACAAACTGAGAGGTCAACGTTTTTCGACACCTGAAGAAGCGGTTGCTGCATTCAGAATGCATGTTTTGGAGATAACTCAATCATAGTGGCAAAAGTAATTCGACAATTTGTTTATACGCATGCAAAAGTGTACAGATTTTCATGTGGAATATTTTTAAAACAATTAAAGTGATTTTCCATGATTCATATTTGTTTTTGTTCTCTAATCCCGAAATATAAAAGGCAACCATCGTTCTTGTTTTGGTTTATTTGATACTATAATCATATATTTATTTGTATTGAATTATACATCGAACTGTGGAACCGTAAATATTATTTTCATTCTAGAATAAATCACAATCAATAAAATTCATCGTTAGAGGATTGAAATAATATCTAAATAGAGAATCACAAACCACTTAACGCATAAGTGATGAGGTGTTTACAAAATTTCGAAAATGTTCCTGTTTTGGATTACAAAATCTTCCTCAGAAATATCATGAAGTTCAAAAGTGGCACGTTTGAAAAATTCAGAAGAATGGTGTCGGAAATTTGTTACCAATGGATTCGCAAAAGTAACATTAGCAATCGAAACTTTTTTATAGGATGCAATTACAAAAAAATATTCAGTTATTAATCCGTGATAATCATTACAAAGACTATACTGAAGATACTAATACCGACATGAATTGATACTAACCATTATTGAAAATAAAACGAAAAATGTTTATCTTTCGATCACCCACCGGAAATTTTAAAGCATGGAAAAACAGTGACGAAAAGGTACCTTTATTTTATGGACGCGCCTTTTTTTCCCGTGGCTGGCGCACCAGCCACGGGGAAGCCAGATATCTATAACATACAACGAACCTACATACAAAATTTCGACCACCGAAAATAAAGGGGTTCGTAGAAACAGTGATGAAAAGGAAATTTCCATATAAATGCACGCCCCTTTTACCCCCACGGGTGGTTAGGTTAGGTCCAAAGTGAGTGGGTCCATTCGACCCTCCACCGCAACGGTTTATTGTGACTCACACTCGACCAAATAGACCCAGCTTCTTAACGAAGCCGATTAGTTTGTGTTCAAAGTATGTGTTCTGCTGTTTCATCATTTTCCAAACAGAGGCGACACACACTGTCTTCCGACAGCCCGAGTCTCTGCATATGATGTTTCAAATGACAGTGACTTGAAAGAAGGCCTGTTAGACATCGTAGCTCATTCCTTCTGTAGTCCAACAACTGTTTGGTATCAAGCTTCGAAGAAGCTTCTTGCCATCCAGGTGTTCAATCTTTGTTTGGCAAAGCCTAAATCGATGCCAATGAGAGGTTCTGGTACGATGAAGCTGCTTGCAGCACCCTCATTTGCAAGGGAGTCAGCAGCTTCAGTAGTATGGCCAGGAATCCACACCAGACACAATTTGTTAAGTCTTCCTATCGAGAATAGTCGTTTTTGAGAATTTGCTACCAATTTAGATGTTGCTCTGTAGCAGCCAAGAGCTTCCAACGCCGCTTGACTGTCCGAGAATATTTTTATTGACTTGTGTGTGAGGTTGGATTCTTCCAATCTCTTCGTACACATTTCAATAGCGTAAACTTTTGCTTGAAATACAGTTGCATAGAGGTCCCTAGGCAGGTTGATATCTCTGTCCTGGGTCTGCGATTGAAAACACCTGCACCCGAACCGGAAGATGTTTTGATCCATCTGTGAACCACCACCCCACGGGGGGGAATCCCAGTTGGAATATTTAAACATCCTTTCTTAGTGGGCATCTAATACCTGAGAAGCACTTTAGCTTCCTAGGACTTACCAGTATGGAAAAACAGAGATGAATGAGTCGGTATTAATTGAATGACATTTGCAAGTAAAGATTATTACGATAGAGCCATTATTTCAACCCTTTGGATTGAACCAGATGGACAATGAGAGATTGGAGGAAACAAATAATGATTTGACAATGGTATAACTGCAGAATTAGTGATTGGTGCTACCTATACTAGTTTTGTTTCAAAATCTATTTAAAATCTGTTTTTCCGTTAGCCAGCTGTCGCACCCCTACGAACGACAACACTCAGTAGTCGAAACTTGTGCGAGCTAAGGATTAATGAGGTCTTACCTTTCAACATGTGATTCCTAACACGGGAAAGTAGAATTAAAGAGTGATGTAGCAATGCCATTGATGATTTCTAAAATACCATCATCAGTAACAGTGTCAACGTCGCCATATCCAACTCGGAATTTTTGTTTGTGTATGTATATCGGATCCCAGTTTATGAGTGAAATTCGCATAGAATTCCTGATACTTCCATTCTCACGAACACATAAGCTCTTCAGAGAACACGTGTGATTAATTTTTTCTTCGTTGAATAGTATTTTCTCGTGTCCTAAACTCCACTAGGATAAAATCTGAAGATTATAGACAGGGCCGTCGCCATGTTGGGGATGGGGGGAGCCTCTCCCCCCTGCTTTTTCGACTTGGGAAAAAATTGGGAAATTTTGGGCCATGAAGATAGAAAAAAATAATAGTAAAAAATGAATAATGAGAGAAAAGAAAAGGAGAGGTAATAAGAAAAGGGAAAGGAACCAGGAGAAGGTTGGGATTTTCCAACATGCATAACTTTCAGAGTTGGTTGAAATCTTTAAAAAAGTTTAATTTCTCCTAAGTAAGAAAACAGTCCTGAACAATTCACAAATTTTGAATTGACAATTTTACAAAATTCCCAACTTTTCGCAGTTTTTTCGACTTGGAAAAGTTGGGAAATTTCGGGCCGTGAAGATAGAAAAAATAATAGTAGAAAACAATAAGCACAATATTATTTAAGTGTTGTTTCCTTTCATTTGTATTGTGCATACCCTAACGGAAATAAGCATTCAGCCAATCTTTGGATAGCTAAGTAAGAAAATTAATATATTATAGTAGTAACACTAATCCCTCGGCTTTCATTTCTTCGAAAGTTGGTAAATTTTGCTGGTGAGGTTGGGAAAATTTGGATTCCCTCCCTCCCCCCTGGTTTTTCTTTTCGCTACGGCCCTGATTATAGAGGTTTCATTATGAAATGAATGAATGTACAACTTGTCAAAACTAGGAAGAGACTTGAGAATTCACTCTCTCTTTCTGTCTCTTTCTCACATACACACACAACGAACCCGCATCTTAACAGAGGTCCTAAACTTTAAAGTCGCTCCCTACTTTTGACAAGCCGTATATGTTATTATAGAAATGTTCAAAAAACTAGATTGACATTCTGGAATTTATTAAAATATTCTTCAACGTGGCTACTTTCAAATAATTCTACCGTCCGTAAACAAACGAAATTGTTTGAAAGTACCGATACGTTGGGAAATAATTCACCCTATTTCTTTTCCATTCGATTCTATCAGAGTTAAATCGATTGAACAGCGTATAAAGTAATCTAACTTGTTTCAGGAATTCGCTACGCTCACCAAAGAATTAAACGCGGCGAGGGAGCAGCTTTTGGAAAGAGAAGAAGAAATATCGGAGCTGAAAGCGGAAAGGAATAACACTAGGGTGAGTGCTGCTTTAATTCGATAATTTAATGTTCGTCGGTTGGTGGGAGCTGATGGACACTACGAGTTGCTCCGAATGCTTCGTTCCGAGTTCGTTGTTGTTATTGTTCAGGGTCAGCACCGCGTGAATTGGATACCAAAAAAGTCGTTTCTCATGTGTTTCAGAAGAATTATTTGTGATTTCGCGTATACTGACAAATCGTGTCTTCAGAAGAAAGGGCGACGACAAGCGGTTAGTTGCAAAGCCGAGCATCGACATCGACAGCCGCCGAAATTCGTTCTCTGTCTTTTACTGCAGCTTTCACTACAAAGCACAATGCATTCCTCATTCAACGCCATCATCGACCCGCCATAAAGTAGTGCTGGGCTGAACTACAAATGCATTGCTGGACTCGACTGTCCTTAAAGAACACGCTTGAGTAAGTAAAGTCGACGACATCTTCCATTACGAATACGCCATCTATGGGATTGACAGAGAACTGATGAGACATATGGCGAGTCGAACAGCCCTTTTATTTTATGAATTGCCAAAAAATGTTTATTGGGTTATATTTCAACAACTTTTCAAGTCAAGAAAAGGAAACGACAACAGAAAGAGAGAAATACAATCACAATCATCGATACATTTACGAATCGGTCAAAATATGAGGTACAGTTAAGTCCGGCTTTGTCTGATTAACACTCTCGCCACTTATAAGTAAAAATATCCCCGAATATCCTGGAAATAAACTACAATATCGGCACTTCAGAAATAGCCATTTACGATGATAATCATAATGCGTGTTGAATAATGCAACACTAATTAGCAACCCAGCTGAACTGTCTCCCTTCATAGTTTGCCCTATTACATTCTAATACTGTTCCCGCATTATCCCATCTAATTGGTAATTTACCCGAAAATCCTCTGTATAGTTCATTAAGTTGTTTCAGTTTTCGACAGACGGGAATCCTTAAAGCCGTCCAAATATAATGGCGTGCCGGATATTTCGGTCTTGGCCATTATAGGAGAGACAGTAACGGTCGCAAAATGTACGCCTAAATATTCCATGAAGAGGAGATTGTTATGGTCGAGAACAATACTGATCTGACGAAACCGAAGTCAAATATTCATCACTTGGTATTTAAGTAAGTATGAAATATCATCTAGCTCCGACCGATTCGAAATTCACATGAGATCCAAGATCGTCCGATACGAAAAAATCACTGTTTGGTGAAGGCTTTGGCCAGACCATCACTGTCAACGACGAGTGCTATAGGTCGATGATTCTGTATCTGTAGAGTAGGGAAGGTGGGTGTAGACCCACAGCACTTAGACCACATGTGACCCATCATACATCCTCCTGAGGAGTTGTCCTCCCAGGTCATCGTCCATCCTGTCCTTTCCAGGAAGGCGGACAGGTCACTAGGAAACATCTCCTTTATGATCGGCAGGTGTGGGCCAAGACTCGCCGAACACACACTCTCTTTGGCAACCTTTAGGAGTCTCACGGTGGCCTCCGCGAAGGTTTTGGAAGGTGCAGCGGCATTACTGTCGTTGCGCAGCTTCTTCAACCTTCTTGGGGTTCCCTCCGTGGAGGTGCACAAGTGAGGGAGCTTTCCTGCAGGGGCAGCCGCCTTTATTCAAAGCGTAGCTCTTGGCGCCCGCCGCTAGAAGTGGCTTTGCTGTTGGGGGTGGAGCAGGAGAGTGCACTTATAGTTGCTGCCACTCCTGTCTCCTTCGCTCTCTTTCTCCTTTCGGCCTCGGCGATTTGAGGACATGGCCATCTCACGTAGAGGTGATGTGAACTGGCAGCCGAGATCATGCGATTTGACCCCGTTATACTTCTTTTATGGGGTTTTTTCAAGTCCCATATGTAATAAAGCGGCCTACACACATCGCCTAACTTGGTTCTGACGAACCATGTTCGTCATCTGTTCCCCTGTGTGTGGTGTTTAATGAACCAAGATCGCCACAATTCCTCACGAACTTGGTCTTCCATCGGGTTGGAAAACATTTGTTCGATTCGCCGGCAGGGCGCATCAAATTCGTCTGTATGTGGATGAGGAGAACTGTTTTCCGCCTTTTTGATTTTTGACAGTACTCAGTAGGAGTACAGTAGGAGAGCCTCATTGTTGCTTCCGTTGCGACTCATTGGTGGATTGTGGTGATAGTGCACAATTTACGAATCCAACGTTTTTGACGGACTTCATAGAAGCATTTAGAGATCATATGGAGAGCTTCCATGTATATGGAAAGTGAAGAGCGACGAGTACAGGGACAAGAGTATGCGAAACAAAGCATTAAACAATTTCTCACTGATAACTCGCGACACGATTCCCGCTGCAGATCCGAGTTTCATCAAAAGTAGAATCGAGTGAGTAAAGCAGAGTTTTCGTAGGGAATTTAGAAAAGTGAATGTCAATGAAATCCAGCGCGGCGGAGGAAAATGTTTACAAACCACGATTATGGTACTATGACCTCATTTCTTTCATCGCATCATTTCATTTTTAAATAATTGGTGTAATCTTTCGCACTGTTCTCCCTAAGGTGATATAAAATATTGAGCCACTGCTTGGTCCATTCCGATATTTTCTTCTTCTTTCTTGTAAAACCCCCAAACTCATCGAATACAGCGCAACAGCAGCTGCAATCTTCGAAGACCTCATCCCAACTGCTGGAATAAAACTGGTGAAATGGCCAACTGTTGTTCACATTCCCCTCCACTGTGTGTAGGGAGTGACGAACCAGGTCCCCGTGTGTATAGGTCGCTTAAGCCACAATCCACAGCAGTCCTCAAAGCGAACATAACCCATCCCATCGGTCAAATTCAGACTGATTTACGCGTCAGAGTCATGGAAAATTGTACGTTTCCAATGCGTTCTACCCATGATGTTATATTCCACAGCTAATGTCATCAATAGGCCTTTCAAGCGATAGAAAAATTTCGATCTCTGACACACACACTTTGTTTCATTTAAATTCAAAGATATGTGCTTGATGAAATACCTTATAGTTGCCTTACAGTGAAATCTGCAGAGTTGAGTCAAACAATGCAGCCCTGATTGGGCGACATGGAGGTCAGTGGACCCTCATACCGTAGATACCAATATCGATGAGCTGTGTCCTCCCGATGAATGAACAGTTGAAAGGGAGATAAGAGTTTCTAAACTGGTTTTTATTGAAATGACTTTCTGAAAAATACATTCGTGGTTCTGCGTGGTTCATGTGGAATTTAAATGAATATTCAACCAAACATCGCTGAGTTGGAACATCAAAGAGCAAAAACATCTCAGATATTGCACATCGATCATCTCTCTCGCATAACAACGTTGTTTTACTATTCACGGCAGTTACGGAACGGTACGAGATCCACACAAAAAAAGACGACACAGAAGTTATTCCAACTACTCGAATTCCCACTCCGTATGCCGCCGGAGTGGATAAGCCCTAGGAAAACAGAAATAAACTTTGCAAACTGATTCACATTTCAGGAATTTCAGAACGTATATTTCAGAAGAGAGGCAGGCCCGACGGACACAATGGAAGCAATACGTGTAATTTATACGTTTCGCCGGGGATAATGTAGGAAAACGCAAACTCTCTCCGGGAGTTCGTAACTGAGAAAAAGTCGTATGCGAGGGCGTTCGGAAGTTGACACTTCCTTTTCGTTCATTTTTGCTGTTCCGGCGACCAGGAGGATAATAGAGTGGGCAGGGAAAAGGGTAAGGATGCGGTCACTGTATACGTGAATAATGGACCATCCTCAGGGTTTTAGGCTGGAACTCTTGAAGGCATTGTTCTAGGGTGCCGGGTTTCATACAGCGCATACATAAAATATCATTATTAGCTTAAGAAACAGTACTATTGAGAATTCCTCAAACACGCCTCTAGTGCTTATCCTAGTGCTTATCCTTAGTCCTCATCATCTGTCAATATTTTTGTAAGGGTCTCCTGTGGCTGAATGATGACGAGTATGTCTATGTGTGTGCAATACCGTTTTGTATGTATGTTGTTATACTTACCGAAATCACCATACGGCGTTGGGGTTATCTTTGTTTCTGTTTCGTCGGCTTCTTGTGACTATCACTCTCTCGGGGAATCTGAGGTTGACCCTGTTCAATGCGTCGTGGAGATCACGGAACGTTGAGATATGGTGTAAGCGGATTCGTTTGAACTGAGATTCAGGTCCTTATAGATTCATTGGTTGGGAATGTATCTAGAAGAGTTTACCACCGACAAACATTCGTTAAACATTTGGATTCTGAGTCTTCATGTTTCTACACACTGTATCCAAGAAGTGGAGGTATACAAATTTATGAGAAGTAGGATTGTCTTGATCAGAAGCAGTTTCACTTGGAGATCAATGTTACTTCTGCGTCCTATGATAGGATTGAATTTTAGTCAAGCAGCATTCGCCATTTCCAATTCTGGAATTGCTTTTTCAGTAGGGCATCCATGTAGTGAGAGCCGAGATCCAGGTCCTGGTAGATGTATCGGTTGGGTATGTATCTAGGAGAGTTTGCCACAGACAGACATTCATAAACTTTTGGATTCTGAGTATTTATGTTTCTACACACTGTCTCCAAGAAGAGGAGGTATACAGGGTGTTCGTGAGAAGTAAGATTGTCTTAATCAGAAGCAGTTTCACTTGGAGATCAATGTTACTTTTGCGTTCTGTGGTGGGATTGAGGTTTTGTTAAGCAGCTTTCGCCATTCCCAATATCTGGGTGATATAGGACCTGAATATTAGTTTCCTAACAAGGGTAACCACCAGGTACCTTGCTTCCTTTGTCTTAGGAACCTCATGTTCGTTGAAAACGACGTGTTCTTCGTTGCGCCTTCCTCCGGGTGATTTTTGTCAGGGTTGATGCTAATCCTCCAAAAATTGACCACTTCTTCAATCTGTCCGCTTGCTGTTAGGTTATTCTGATTATGGGTGTTTTGGAAACATATTGTAGGAGAAAAATTATGTACTTTAAAATGGGACGAGTTGCATCAAAATAGGTGTTTCTAATACGAAA